TGACAAATTAGAATCAGTTCTACTAAAGTTTGGATGTGGTTTGATTCAGATGGTGTAATTGTAGTCTGACAAAAACTTTTGTCATCTTCTATGGCTCATGCCCACTGATTTAATGTGACTTCAAACTCTTCTTTGCACTGAGAGGTCCCCTTAAGGGATGAAGTCGACCTCCTGTGATATGTTTTACTGGAAGTTTTGACGAGGCAAGTGGAAGAAGATAATGGGCCACAAACTCCTAATCAGGGTCCTTCTGGGGAATAATTGTCTGCCCCATCTGTCTCGGGTCCCCCTCACTGCTGGGAAAGTAATGAGGTGCTTCGAGTTGTGATGTCCCCCTCAGGACCACGAACCATTGAAGGAAAGATCCAAAGAGTTCGAAGAGGAGCAAATGAGATAAACAAAGACAAGAGAATACGATCATAAGAGAAAGGAAAGGAGAGATATAAGAGCATGTTTGTACAAGAAACTGGAAATTATGGAGCTGCGCCGAGAGATGAATCGATATGGTAAATAAAAAAATAAAAAGAATGAAAAGGTGAAAGCCAAAGGGAATGGAGTTTTGAGGAGAGATAGAAATACATCTTCAATTTAAAACTTTCTGGTAGAAGTGGATCAATTGAAACAAAAATATCCTGGTTTATCAGTAAATGTACCATATGCAGCGTTACATTCAATCTTCATTATCTAAATGCCACAGACACCACAGTAACAACCACTGAAGTTTTGACATATTATACTGTATTTTTAATTAGTGTATGTTTGTTATACAGTAGGCTTTACTTTCCAAATAAATTGCTTGAAACATTGAAATTTCTCATGAAATTGTACCAAGAGAACACCTTTTATTTCTCGGTGTCCCATTAATACATATTAATATTGGATTCAAATCATAAAAACATCCCTTATGTTTGAGGTTTTTCCCCAGGTCTTAAAAACAGCAATTATCAAACCATTGTAGATAATAAAAAAGAGAACTTAGCAAATTAATCGTGCAGAAACACAGGCCCATCTCAAACCTCCCCTTTATCAGTAAGATCATTGGAAAAAGTTGTGTTTCAACACTTAAATGCCTTTCTAACAATGAACAGCTGTCTTCCAGTCAGGTTTCTGTGCCAACAGTACAGAGACTGCCCTGATTAAGGTGTTCAATGACATCTGTATAAATTCAGATTCTGGAAGACACAAGGTGCTGATATTATAGCACCTCAGTGTAGCATTTGATACCCTTAATCACTTGATTTTAAATAGGATGCCTGGAAAACTGGGTTGGCCTTTGTGGTACCGCATTGGACTAGTTTAAATTCTACCTGAAGAATAGAGAAAAATCACATGCAGGGTTCCTCAAGGCTCCATTTTGGGGCCCCTCCTATTCAACATCTTCATGCTCCACTTAGCGCAGATTATAGAAAACATGAGTCAGATACAATAACTATGCAGACGACACACTAGAGTCCTGCAACGGGTCGGGTACCCGCGGGTTTCTAACGGGTAACCCGCTAAAATGCTCTTTTGCGGGTGAAAAATACATAAATAAAAATAAACGGGTCGGGCGGATATTTTTTTAGTGCGGGCAGGTAGTTGGTGATTTTTTTTTATGCGTGTGTTTTGTTATGGACATCAGAAATGTTATATTAATCAGGCACTGGGGTCACCCTTGTTGTAGCTTAAAGCCCTGCCTGCAGTGTGGGCTTCCCTCCAAAAAGGCCACAGTCAGTGCATACACGTCTGCTGCAGTGTTAATGGCGCTGTTCTGCAGTGCAGCGTACTATAGCCTATTACTTGATGTGTTAACGGGTCGGGTTGCGGTTTAAATTTTAACGGGTCGGGTCGGGTTCGGATTTGAATTGAAGATATCCGCGGGTGATGGGTCGGGTTCGGTAGTCATCCTAACGGGTTTGGGCGGGTGCGGGTTGGTAAAACTCGACCCGTGCAGGACTCTACGACACACAGCTTTACATCATGTCAGCAGGTGACTATGAACCCATCGGAGCGTTGGATAGATGCTTACAACAGATCAATATGTGTTCTTAACCCATTTGTTTGGAACTGCATTTGACTGTTGAAATTAAACTGTTAACTGAGGTACTATAATTGTTTTTACTTTGCTTTGCTTTTCTTCTATTTTATTGTCTAATGAATGTAAAGCATTTTTAATTGTTCATGTACTGAATTGTACTATAAAAATTAACTTGCCCTGCCTTGCCTTGAAAGGTAGGTTCACATAGCTGCATGCAGTATGACAGTTCTGCTACCAATGTTCCCCCTGTAAGAATATTTGTGAAATAAGTACCGGATTAAATAAAATTATGAATAAAAAAAGAAACATCTGCAGCTACATATCCATTCCATGACATTGATGATGAAAACTATCAGGACCGTCTAGCTAGATTAATTGGAAACATCTTCCCCTTTCATTCTCTTTGGCGCATGCCCAAGGGGGAGATTTTTTAGCTTTTTTTTAATATTTGAACTTTATGAACTGTATTTTTTTCCCTAAAGCCCATCTTGTTAATTTGGGTCAACATTCTGCCATATCAGCACATAAACACCAATGTTTTTGCCCTAACAACTCAAGGAGACACAAATCGCTTTTTTTGTTGCCATGAAATTAGAAACAAGGTCATATTCAATATATTACTTTTTTAGGGATTTTGGTCATAAACTGTTTATCAGTTTAAAACTATTGTATTTATGCTTTGGAAGGAAAGTTAATTACGTTGTTATGATACAGAAATACAAACAGTGAATATTTCTTGTTTCTCTGTCTTCAACTGGTAGGATTTATTACTTATTTAGCAACATGTCAGGGCTAAAGGCTAAGTTATGCTTGATGCTCTGTGCAGAAATTAACGTTTGAACACAACGTCTAAAGTTTTCATAATTGTTTTGCTTTTCCGCCAGGACTTGATATTCTTACCAACTCTAGGAAGCATCATGGCACAGACTGCAAGCTTAGAACACCACACAACAGGTAGAAGTAGAAAACACTGCGAATTCCATCATTTTCAAAGCCTCTTTTTGTCATCCACTGTGCTCATCCTATATGCTCATTGTAGCAGTATTTATGGCCCATATCATAAGATGTCTGATGTTTACATTTACATATCCTTGCCAGTAGGAGCTGTCACCTCTCCACCATGTTTTTCCTCGTAGAGCGAAATATTCCAGGGTAATAGTGTGGAAAATGAGTGTGCAAACAAAAAATTATTGGGAAATGAGTCTGTGCAAATGTCGGGGGTGCTAATATGATGTATTTTAGCTGCGCAGACGCATCCAGTATAAACCAGGCTTAAAGATATATATAATAATAAAAACTCAAGCTTCCTTTTATTCTCTGCATCATTCTCTTACATTTCTAAGAAACTTGATATGGTTAGGCTACAAAGGACTTTTTTTGTATCACATCTACTGTATGTCAGTGTGGTGCATTGGTCATTCAAACTCTAAAATGGGCTGTGCCTAAAATTATAGTAACTTTTTTTTTCTTTAAACAAGCCATTTTGAGCCTTTGGACAATCTGAGGCATATTCACTTAGTGGTTCTCAGGCCAGAACCGAACAAGAGCAGCCATTCTATTTTCTCATTGAAAGAAGTCATTGCTTAAAATTAATTTTATTTTTATTTAACAGTAACTGGCTAAATGAAAGGTAAACCTGGGTAAAAAAGAAAAATATGCAGATAAGCAGTCAAATTAGTTTGAATTGTTTAATCTTAGAGTAAAACAAAATAAAAAAACTGTAAAACAAATGACTTGTTTCTATCGAAATTGTGGAGAATTTCCAAAAAGCGAGAAGAAAAAGAAACAACAAGGTTATGCTTTTATTGTCCATCGCTCATTCCTTTGCATTATGAGAAACAGAAATGCTGTTAATAATTTTCAACAGCTTTTTTCCCCACAAATAGCAAAAGTGATCATATTATCAAGATTGCTTCACTGTATGTTTAATTAATGACAATGTCCCACTGGAGGAACTATCTGCTGGTTTGAAAATGCCTTAGGCTTCCCCCAGAGGAGCTGGACCAGTAGTCAAGGGAGAGGGAAGTCCATGAGGAGACTGCTGCCCCTCTGTTCCAGTTCAGATAAGCCAAAGAAAATGAGAGTACAAGTAAATATGAGTTTCAGTACGAGATCCCATGGAAAAACATGAAATATCTTTTTGTTTACTTTAAAAGTGTCCCAGAGGAATTTTGATTTGCATCTAATCAATCATGTACAAACCCTGAATTTATTATAAAGTGTAAAGGAACCTTAAAATATTTATAAATGATAATAATTTCAGAGGAAAGTTTAAATTTATATGTGATCTAATCTATAGATCAATGATAATGAATTTAATTAGTAAGGGGTGGGCAGGCACAGAGCAAATCATCGGAGGGCAGCAAGGGCATATCAAAGAAAGCAGAATTAATATTAGTATTTTAAGCTACTTAGCATAAACATCTGTAAGAAATATGTTAAATGTCTTATAATCATTCTGAATATCGAGTCTTGCAGGTTGCTTTATGGTTTTGTTTGAATCACTTATGGTTTGCCACATTCTGATATTTTTACCCTTTGGAGTTAACCATATTAGTTCAGTTTGTATGTTTTCACAGGTGTTTTATATATCAATTTCTCTTACTTTATCTAGTAACTCTTTTTGTATTTTTTGATAGCTTCTTTTAGTTTTTTTGTAAATTTTTTATTGTTTTCCCCATTTCCACACCTGATAATAAGAAGCCCCAGTCTTTAATAAATGTTTGGTTTATTCCTTTAAACTTCTATATTGTTGTCATATAATTTTAACTTTACTTTGCATTTACAGCAAAAAAAATGAGTTGAGTTTTTCCTCTGCTGATAATTTACATCTGTTATTGAAGCCTTCAGTCAGCTGCTAGTATTCATCAAGTCCAGTGTTTTTTCTGTTACCGTTACTTACCATGTTGCCTCTGAGCGTATGTGCGCATTTTCATGACATTGAAGGCGTCAACAGGGCTACATGTATGGAAATGAAGTCTTTTATACATTTAGTCACTTTACTTATATCTTATAAACTTCCTGTTGTGAATTATTAATCATTTATCTCTCAAATGTGGCCCCAAACATGGAAACATTTATTTTCCTTCCCCACGTGTCACATGCCTTAGTTAATTTTTTTTCTGACTGGTTATCAATTTATCTTTTCTGCTAAAGCCTTTCAGAAATTAAAACTATACTGAGATGGTAAATTTAGCTCCTGTTTTACAGCCGCCTAGGAAGATGATGTATTTAGCTCTCAAAAATTATGGTTCTTTACCATTTGAAAACTTTCTTTCAACCAGATGTTTTATGTGTATATACAAAAAAAGTATTTCCACATTGTGAACTAAGCTGAATTCAACCAATGTTGCAAACTGTGTTTATTTATCATTATAATTTTTGGCATTTTTGTCAAAATGCAGAAGCAGTAAGTAAATTCTATCCTTACTCCTTCAGTTTAGAGGCCAAATGTGGATCAAATGCACTGAATTTCTGATCATTGTCAAATGATGGCATCTGCAATTAGCAAGGCAATCAGAAAGGCTTATAAGGCTATTTCAAATTATTTGCAGTCCATCATTCTTTAATGAGAAGATTAGAGCATGCTATGTTCAGAGATATACCAAAAACCTAGAAGCTCTATTGTCACAGGCCAGATTTAACATGTTAAATACATATGTAATAAAGTTTTTGCCAGAACAACTTTCTTCTCTTTAAAAACAGCCTGACGGCATCAATCAGGTTTGCAAGATGTCATCTAGGTTTTTTTTTTCATGTATTGATATAGACAAAAGGAAAAAATAACGATTTTGGCTAAAATCCATTGCAGCATGGAAACATTATAGGTTTCTTCTTGCAGCCAGTTAATGACTTGACTTATCTTCAGCATTTGTAAAATTTGTGAAAAAGGAAAGTACAAAGGTGCTGAAAGGAAGTTAAAGTTAGCATGGTTGAAATGCTATAGCTGCACAACAATGGTCTGCTAACATCCATGAAATTAAACAAATTTGTAAAGAGCGTTAAACCAAAACTCCTCTAAGAGGGTGTGAGAAACTGATAACGTAAAACAGAAAAAAACTAGTCGAAGGCTGCTTAATATGCTTAGAACACTCATATTAACTACTTCTGTATTTTTATTTATTTATTATTAAAACCAATTTAAAGTCATTGCAATATTTTTGTAGATTATCTTCTTGTTTTCAGATTGTATGACTTGATGAAGACCAGATTACTCACTTCTGAGTTTCTGTTATGTAAAATGTCTAACAGAAAACTTACATTTTCTCTATGACTGTCATGTTATGATCTTTAAACATACAATTAGGCATTAGAAAAGTTTGTAGCTGGCTTACCTTCATCCAAGTAAACGGAAAGATTTTAATGTTAAACAAGTTTGTTACAGCTTATCTGCAAATATATCACAAAGATAGCCATCATTTCAGTTCAACATTTTTTTTCAGGTTTTACATTACAGTATAAGCCTGTGTTTTAGAGTAATAAAACATTTGCAATGTTCACATGCTTTAACATTTCCACCTCGGAAGAGTGGTGTTAAGTGTGAACGTGAGACAACTCTGTGTTTGAATCTGAATCAAAGGAAAAAGAGAGAATCAAAAGGGAAAGTGCATCAGTTTACCCCTTATGAAGCTTAAAAAATCCTTCCCTCTCAGGTCCCATTATTGCAGAAGAGAAGAAGTTCAGTATAAGATAGTGCTCATAAAAAACGAGTTCCAGTTAATGTTGCTGTTGACCCCAAATGCGTACAAGAGCATGATCCAGCTCAGGTGGAGTGTCCAGGTGCTCTGAGTTCATTGTAGTTCAGCTGCCTTTGGGGCAAATAGTGTGAACATCAGCATCCTTCGATCAGTTTTAAACTTTCTCCACGTTTATATCCTATCTTTCAATTGCTTGGTCTTCACTTTTTTTTTTTCATTATTTAAAATGACTTGAATGTTTATCCTACATCTTCCCACTCTTCCTTATCTTCTCTTAATCTACTTATCCCTCACTGTCCTCCCCTTACCCTACTAGCCAAAATACATTAGCATAGTGTCCAGTCAGCTGGCTGGGTTTGTGTCACATGCCCGTGGAAGACAGTCCACGCCCTGCTGCCTTGCTCATGCAGGGTAAACCCTGTGCTCCAGCTTTTGGGAAATCATGCGCAACCACTCTCCCGTTTTCTCCCCCACATCCGGATGCTCCTCCACTGAAACCTCCAGCCGTGACATCCCCGACTCCACTTGCCATCCCCCCGAGGCTGGTACTCATCATGGCTGCATCAATGAGCTCCTGCAGGCAGAGGGTAGATAAGAACTAAAAGTTATTTTCAGAAGTACATATTCCAGCAAAGATCATGGCGGAGATTATTCCTTTCAATCTTTACCTGAAACATAAGGCACTGTTCGCTATGTGGGAAAATTTGGCTCAGTTTTTTTGGGGTCAAGTAAAAAAAAAAAAAACCCAACAACACCAAGTCTGAATGCAATATGTGCCCCATATCCAATATTTAAATATATTTAAGCCACCTTCATACATGGTCCTTAAAACTTGTACCTGACGTTTTGAAAGAGACTACAGTGGGAACAACCACTGTGGATTTTTAAAAAAATGAAACAAACAGAAAACAAAGACTCGTTGAGGTACAAAAAAACATTGCAACATAGGTAGGGAAAAGAAAACAAAACATGGGGCTAAGACTAAAGATAAACACATAAACAGTAAGGCATATAAATAGAAAAGAGCACGATTTATAACAAATAAAAAAGTAAGGATTTTTTTTTTTTCTTGCAAAAACTGATTTCATATGTCTCAGTGAGGTTTAATACAGTTTAAATTGGATCAATGCGGATTTGATGCACCTTGAATGTCATCTTTCATAAACAGTTGTTGATGAGGGAAGTAATCACAGTCAGAAAGATGATTAAAAGCTGTGGCAACACTGTACAGTGAAGGTCAGCAAGATATTAGACCTTATTAACGGGGAGTGGAATCACTATTTAAGCCAAATTGGAAAGCTCATAGAAAAACTGTTTTGAATAGGATACAGCAAACGGCCTAGCAGAATATATCCAAAATCCTACAAAGTTGCCCCTGACAATCTAAAGTTCAGAATGAATTCAATCTCTTGTAGCTGCTGACATCCCTGTCCCATCATCCTATACTATGTCCCTCTATCCAGTCAGACCATCTATCCAAATCATAACATCTATTTCAACCATGTTGAAATAGATGTTTGAACTAAAAGGTGTTATTCTGCCCATGGGGTTCAGTTTTAAGCCCAAAACAGTTTACATTGGAATCAAAAACGGGCAACATTTTAAACATTCTATGAACAACCAACAAATAAAACAAAAGATTTCGGAAAATCCATTTGAATATTTGCCTCACCAATGTGATGTCAAATGATGAATAAAGAGCAGGTTTTAGAGACACTCGTAAAAATTTGACCTCTATTAGTAAATGAACTTTTTTGTGGTAAACAAAACATTTTAAATCCCAAATAAACTTTTAAAATATGATCCATCAGCAAATATTTTGCACTTTGTAGAAAATTTAACCCCAAATTTGCTCTTTAATTTACTCCACAAAATGCATTAAAGTTTATATCAAGCCAAAAAAAAATCCAAATCCAGCTTGACGGACATTTATGTGTTAGGGAGATTTCTGTATTGAGCAGGGGTCCGCTTCAAAAAGCAGGTTTGCGATTAAACTCTACGTTTTCTAAACCTGAAATCAAGGAAAATTAGGGTAACTCTGGATAGGTTTGGTTAAGTGAACTCAGTGTCCTCTGTCTCTACCCTCCTTAAGGCCAATGCTGTTGTTTTATTTCCTCATCTAGTCAGGAGATTTTTTTTCATAGTTTTGTGCATACTATAAAAAAAAAAAAAAAAAGTAATTCACTAAGTCCGTTAGAGATATTAAGTTTAAAAAAAAACAAATACTGCAAGTCTGTTTGGTGAGGATTCAGTTAAAGAATGACCAACATTAATTTGCAGAGAATTCAATATTTATAGGGAGATGATTCTACAATTGACAGGTTATGAGGTTTATTTGTTTTTGGTTTGTTTTGTATGATCGACATGGGGATCAATTATTATTATCATTTTTTTCAATCACATTAAGATCTACTGAAATTCAGAGTGGTTATAGATAAATTACGGTAGATTACACATAGATAGATTAATTGTCAAATTACACATAGATAGATTAACTTTCCATGGAGTAAAATAATTACTTTAGGATTATAATATGAATTCATCCAGTGAAAACAACCTATTGAGCTTTCTGGCATAATCTGGAGTAATCCTTGGGACTGATAACTGCTAATATGGTTATTTATTAAAATGATAACATCTGAAAATGCTGTAAACAGCCACCTGGTATTTACTGTGTGATGGAAGAATAACACTGAGGAGTAACCCCATAAGATGATGAGCAGGTCATACCTGTTTGAACAACGCTTTTTATCCTTAATGTTCACCTGCTGCCAGGTGATTGCAGCAGCTTAATAGAATACATCGGCCCATCACCATTCAAGCCATTAACTAGTTTTCTCCATAATGTTTTTGTGGTTAGAACAGGTAAAGGAATTTGATGTGTATTAGTTTGACTGAATATGTAGTATGAAAATGTAATGACATTCTTCACATCTAGAATAAACATTCTGAATGTCTAGAAATTAATTTCAGATCTCAATATTCCTGTTGTTACTGGTCATCGTTATTATTTTGAAGAAATGTATTTCAGATATTATGCATACTACAGTGACGAAAATAAGTATTTGAACATCCTGGTATTTTGCAAGTTCTCCCACTTAGGAATTATTCAGGTGATATGTTTATGTAAGGCTGTCCTATGTGCTTGTCCCCATTTTCACGTACCGGTGGTGAGTCTGACATAGTGGAAACATTTGTAAATCTTCTTTTGGAAAGTAAGCTTGGATGAGTGATGCAAACAGCAACTTATAAACAGAGCATGCACGAGGATAAATGGACTCGGCCATGCTCTCACACGCGTTTAATAGGCATTCCCTCTCAGAAGCGGGTACAGGGTTGTGCATGTGCATTTACTTTCAAAAGTGGAGAGGGCGGGTCTTTCCAAAAATTCACAAAAATCCTCCACTACACCTTTAAGTCAAATTTAAAAACTAATTTAGAACTGCGTTTGACTGTTGAAATTAAACTGTCAACTGAGGTATTATTAGTTAAAGGTGGCGGTCCATCAGTTTTATTTGTTTTACTACCTGCTTTTATCATGTTTTATCTTCATATGCTTTTACTCTGCTGTTATTTTGTGTAAAGCACTTTGAATTGTCCATGTATTGAGCTGTGCTATACACATTAACTTGCCTTGGCACAAATGATCCGTCTCCAAAACTGTCACAAAATAGGGTTAGTTTTTGGTTCAGCTTTTTCTGAACATGGTGAGTGTGAAGCTCTTCTGTGTGTGTGTGTGTGTGTGTGTGTGATTGTGTGTGTGTGTGTGTGTGTAACCTCTCAGTAAAACTAATGATGTGGATCCAGAGTTAATATCCTGAGTCGGGCCTCTTAGGCTCTCAGACGCCCTCGCATTTTGCTGCCAAACTTACTCAGTCATCATACAGATTGGAGCAAACAAATCCCTGGTTTATTCATTTATAGGAGCAGCAATAAATCTCATATCGAACATCACCACCTCTGCCATATGCTTTTACATCAACAATAGGAATATAACTGTCCACATTTCACCTAGAAATCATGTAAATAATGCTTAATTTTGCTACCGGTTAGTTGACCATAAATTTCTTTTTATTTTTTAAAGATTTTTTTATTTTCACATTCCCCGGTATATACAGTAAGTACTTAAAACATAAAATGACAGGAGAGAATCTGTTTATAATTCTGATTATCCCAACCAATTCCCAAGAAACCTGTCAGCTTGAACTGAACTATATTAAATGAATATATTTCTCTCACCCTCATTGGTTCACAAGCAGTTATCAGCTGCAGATTAAATCCATAAGCACATAGCTTTGAGATGGGAGGAGAATCAAATGACATTCAAAAAGGTGTAATTCCCCATTCACAATTTCCAAAGTTTCCAAAGTAGGGGGCGGTTTAAATAACCACCAAACTACGCCATTATGCAGGGGTAGTTTGGTGGTTATTTAAATGTTCACAACCTTTCATGTAATGTCCTCACATCTTGTTATATTTATAGTATACACCGACCTGTAGTAGGACCCACCCTGTTGATTGCTGGACAGAGGAAGATAGTGCTGGCAGTGTCAGCATTTATCACACTGCAGTTTTGGATCTGATAAAATCAATCTATGATTAAAGTTTCATTTAAAGTGAAATTAAATCTCTGTTTATATGCAATCTGGTCTACGGAGATCCATTCTCCAAAATATGTAGTTTGCGTGACCGCACATTATTATGCCATGTTTGTATTTTAGAAATTACAACCTTTTCAAGGACTTCAGAGAAAGCTTTATTTAAGGCCCAGTTTTGTGTGTACACAAGCCTTATAAATCAGACCCCTGTAAAAGTGGGAACATTAAAACTATTATTTCAAGAAAATCATACATCACAGTAATAGTTTTCCACCAACCCCATAAGAAACACATAAAAAACTCCATGTATCGTAAAACCCTGAACATAGTCCCCACATTTATGGGGACTATGTTGTTTTTAAGTATTATGCTATTTGTATGCCTTGTTTTCTGCAAGGACAGAGACTCTGCTCTACAAGGTTTTTCTTTCAGTGCTTTCCTGTATTCAGCTCTATCAATCTTCCACAAAATGTTGCAGGAAAAACTGGCTGTAAAAGACTAAATTGAAGGGGGAATATATATGGTGTGACACTTCTGATAAAAACACAGACACACACTAGTTCTACGAGCAGTTTTATTTCATACAGACACTCATAAACTACTCCACATGCCCATGTTTAACGTGTTAGATGCGAAAATAGAGTACCACAGGGCTCCAATATATCACACATATGAATGTTTGCTCCTTGTCTGCACACGTGTGGTTTGATTTCCCGCGTGCACAGCATCCCTCCTTTTGGCCCAATCCCAAACCGCCCCCTAAGCTATACCCTTTAACCATCGAGTGTCACTCCCAATGAAGTCACACTCACAGCTGTTTTTTTACTTATAAAAAATTTTAAACCAAGTAACAATTTCCTTTTGCTTCACAATCTACAGTATGATAAGAGCACTACTATGCATTAGTCTACCCGATGAATTCACAATAACATCTATTAAAAGTGACTGTACTGTGACCACCTTTAATATTTTTGAAAGAAATATTTTAAGAAAGCATCATGTTGCATGTTTTGTGTAGGTGACAGGAGCATAGTTTCTTTTTGATGCATCTGACTGAAGAATAAATGTGGTCTGCAAGCTCCTCCATCTGTTCTTACTGATGAAATCTTCCACATGTTGTGTCATCGCTGCCTTCAGAGAGCACTTTAAGTCCTTTTGAGCTCAGACACGCATGTGAAGGGAATAACTAAAGTCCAGCATGAAAGAGTGTTTTAGCTCACACTAGCCTCTAATGACTTGTTTGTTCCTTCTGTGCCATTCATCAAAGCCTCAGCATAGAGTAACGCAGTCTGTGACGAGTCGACTGCAATTTCATCACACACAGACGGCGGCAATGATAAGGAGTCGGAGAACAGAGTGGCAGCTGAGAAGAGTTCAGTTGATTCACTTTGAAATGGAAGACACATTGGTGCTGCTGCCCTGTGGCGAAAAACTGAAAAACAGCAGCAGCTGATGCTCACGACTTAAAAAAAAAAAAAATAACTCTGTTCATGAATGATACAATCTAACGACTGTTGGTGGATCAACATATTTGCAGCATGTTTAAGACTTACTAGGGAAGAAGAGCTAAAATAACCTGAAGGATTCTTCGTTTTAAACTTCCAGAAGTGTCTTATCCATAAGACAGAACAGCTTTTAAATTTTAGAGAGCACTTTTTCAACTCCTTTTTTTTTCAATGTTGTTGCTCAGGAAACAAATTTCATAAGTTAAAAAGAAAATTTTTGAGTAGATTTGAGTTGATTACACTTAAAATCCAAAATGTTAGGATACTTTGTGGTAGAAAATTATGAACCAAAACTATAAAAAAAAAAAATCTGAACAAATGGCTGAGTACCAAGACTTACCTTCATCCTCCTGGATTCAATCCGAGACTTGTAGCAGAACTCAACCAGAGCCACCAGCATGGCCAGCCCGAGTCCACCAATCAGAATGTAGAATACTCCGGCTACATTACTGAGACTGAGAGCACTTGTCTTGTCCTGTCATCATAGGGATTTAGATTTAGGGAAAGACAGTCATGGTGCTGAGATCACAATTAATTCTACTGAATAACCTCACAGTTGACTTTCTGGTTCATGGTTTATTTTAATAATAAGCAGAAAAAAATATCATTCAGAGGCTGTGACATGAGGAGACACTCCTTTAAATTAGAATTGAAAAAAATCAGTAACCTAGCTCCTACTCCATGTGAAATAGCAACATGAAATATGTATTACGTTTTGCCTTTGACTGTTTGAGGTGATAATTTACATTATAATATATTTTCTGGTTGGTTCTGAATATTTTGTTCTTGTGTTTTTGTCCCACTTATTTACATGTTTTTTGCTAATACTTTTAATTCCGCATATTCAGATATTTTTTCATACATCCAATTGTTCTTACGCATAAAGTTTAGCCAACAGTCTTCTTTTTAAAAAGAAGAAAAAAGTTTGATTATGTCCCTTAAATTGCCTGAAGAGAAAACTCATCTAACATTAACAGATTCAATACGGTCATGGTCCTTGTCAGCTCTTAAAATGATTTGCTTGTTTCTAGTTTTAGAGTTTCCTTTATTATGTTTATACTATAGTGTTCAGTTCTACCCTCTGTCTGCCTTATCTTCCTTTAGGTTGTGCCTCAATGAAAATACACATTTTTTGTTTGCACACTAAAATCCATCTCTAACAACCACCTCATCTTTCTTTGTTTAACTTGATGTAAATATATGCTCGAACTAACATATTATTAAATATCTAATATCTTTATTCATGCATTTTTATCCCAAACATTTCATATTTTATACTTAGTGAGGGTGAATTCACCCTTTGTTACCTCAAATCACAGCCTTTGACATTCCATTGTTGTCTACCACATGCAATCATGCAGGAAACGTATTTCTCAGAATAAAAGTCAACAAAAAGGAAATATACTCTTAAATAGCTATATTTTAAAACCTTTGTTATATTATATTCTCTCCAAACTGCCATGTGTTCTGCAAGCAATCAGCATCTCAGAGGTCATTGGAAGAGACACCTTAAAGCCAGACTTCAGCCAGGGAGAAGGAGTGTTCATTCATATACCGGTGTCTTGTTTTTTTAGCTTTTACATCTTTGTAAAGGCAATTAAATTTGCAATTTAATAACATGAAAATAAAAAAATTAAAAACTGAAAACTTTGGTGTGCTTTATGTCTTCTAAGTGTAGACATCATGCATTTTTATCAGTTTGTGCAGGACATGAAATTGTTTAAGATTGGAGTAAATATTATGTAAACTTTGAAATTGAGAAGATTTTTTTTGTCATTGGGAGGGGGTGAATTGAGCTTCAAAGCTATTAGCATTATAACAACCTTCAAATCACTCAAAGTAGTGAATGGCTGTGGTTAATGGATAAAAAATTGGAGAGGTTGCATTGTTATCTCAACACGGTTGGTGGTCTGATGTGTAAGTTTGTGCACTTAAACTTTGTAACATCTTCTTACAGGCCTTTTTAAAAATTTAATTATAAAAAAAAACTACCCTTAACCATTAAAAATATGTCCTGTTTCAGTCTGACAGTAAGCTGTCTCTTCGACAGACTGATGAACATCTCCTGGTTAGTCACGCTCTGTTACACAGATTTCAGAGCAAAACAGGAGCTTCATGACAGATTGGATACAAAAACATCAGTGAGTGTGTCTGGGAAGGAAGAGGAGAGGATGGAAAGCTGTGGTCAGTTGCTTTAATTTCATCTATTGGAGAACAGCCATAAGCAGAGACGTCAGCAAGGAAAAAGGGAACAAGAAAATATATTTTCAGATTACCAACTGTGACTTTATACATCTGAAAAAGTGCTTTGATCTGAAAGATTTATTCCAGGGCAGATTGTATTAGTCAAAGCTTAGTGACTAAACATCACCCAAGGAAAAAAAAAGTGTATTCCAAATCCTCAAGAAAGTTTTCTGCTATCAGGGGATGCTTAAAATATCTTTGTAAATGCCCCCACCCCTCCCAAAGGCAGACAGAATTTGTGTTAAAAAGTGATGTAAAATGCCATGTTTCTCTGCAGAGCCCTGCACCCCTGTCTGTGGCTGCTTAGACTGAACAGTGCTGACCACTGAATGTTCTGGAGAACGAAGACAGGGATGAGTGGAGAAAAGGCTTCTGAAGAAAATCTTGTCTGGAGTCATAAAAAGCCTTATCTGTAGAACAAGAAGTGACAGATCAGACTGAGTATTGGCTAATTTTCTCATTAGTTTACATAAATGTGACCTGACAAAAATACAAAAAGATCTCCTGACATCAGAATCCTCATTTCCACTGTTCTATATTTATTTGCCTATCTTGTTCTTCAGAACAGTCAGCAGCAGTTATAGACCCTGCCTCAATGAATGAAATGATTCAGTAAATCTAAATTCTATGCACTATTGTGAAATAAAAGTTTGTCATTTTGTTACTTGTTCATTCAAATTTCTGCAATAGTCATTAAGCTGGTTAGCTTATTTTAAAGTCTGAAGCAAAGGATATGCAAAAGTTGCTACATTAAATATCAGAATTACTATAGAATTTACCTGTAAACATCAATCTTTTTAAGAGGAGACTTTCCTTTTTTTTGGGAGACAATACAGTACAAAAATATGCTTTGTTTGATCATTGTTTTTATGTACACTGCTGCAGCTATGTTGCGTAAAACATTCATATAAAACAGGGAAGCTTCTCCTACATTGTAATTCCCCCTGTCCTACTCCCAAAACATTACTTTTCTGGGCTCTGGCATTGAGGAAAACACCAGATATATGTGGCTTTATACAAACTGAGACCTCCGTTTAAGCCACTGCACAGCAACATTTTGCCAAATGTCAAGCTTGCCTGAAACACATTTGTAAAGCAACATAAAAAATCTCTTTTTACCATGTATTAGTTCTCCAAAAAAAAAAAAAAAAAAAAGACTCTGAAATCTCTGTAGCCGATTTGCGAGCAGATGGCGTTGACCATTCACAAATTGCTGTGACCTTAAATAGAACTATGGTGATTCGAATCAGGTTAATGATGAAACCAAGAAATTAAATAGTGAACTCTAAAAATTCTGGCCTTTGATGAAAAAGTGGTTTTGAAGGAGACAAAGCAAGATGGATCTGACATCTTACTTTTATATTCGCAGAACGTGGATGTTGCATCTTCAGAGGTGGCTCTGAACTCCTAGTGGACTCATTCCTAGTGAGTTGCGGAGTGTTAGTTATGGTTGGGGTATGGAATCCACCATGTATTTTGTGGGACCGAATTTCCTTAATTGGTCACTTATTGCTCCAGCAGGGTATGGGACTGGCAAGACATAGTTGTTGATTGCCAAGACCTTATCAGAACTTGCCCTATTTGCAGGTATTTGGCTGTTTCTGTTTTCCTTGCAGCCTCTTGTTGGTTGCTATTTGCTTGTGGTATTCTAAGGTAGTTATAACCCTCTTCAGCATCTCCTTCTGAGGGTGAAAAAAAGAACAAAGGTTATCCACACAAAAGTAATTGCACTAACGATCCCCGCTGTAGATCCTGGTGGTCTGGATCGCTCACTCTTAGCATACAGTGAGATGTCATCCATGTACCACAGATAGTGATCCCATTTCTGAGTTGGGATCCGTAGTTAAGTCTTTTCTTATAAAGATGCGTTTGGGTCTCGATTTAAATGCATCCAAGTCCAACTCCAGCTCTTCCCTCTTCTCCAGCTCTTACTTCAGCTATTTTTTAAAGTGACCATAAAATCCGAAACACTTCCCTGTTTTTTATTGCAGTATGAAGTGACAGGCAGATCATATCGGTTCATTTCTTTTCAAGCCATTTAACATCTATATGCCTGCTTACCTTAGCCACTATGATGCCGGACAGAAACTTTCATATTGTGCAAAGGCAGGTTATGGGCTGATAGTTGGTCCAGGGAATCCTTTCTAAGGATCATTATCATCGAACAATTCTGATACATATACAATATTTATTAAAAAGTTACAATGATCCATAAAATCAATTGAATATTGGTAGGTAGCAACTACCTTCCATTCCTCTCCATCTTTTTTTACTGCAAAGGATTTGTGTACTAATATTAATGCTTGAGCTCAAAGAAAGCCTAACTGTTGTCTCTGTACTTTAAGCTAAGCTAACCAGCTTTTAGTATTACCTTTATTGTTCACTTTTGGAATAATAATTAATCCCCAGAATGTCAAACTTGTATTCTGTTGTTAAAATTTTAAGATAATGTATGATAATTATTTTTGATGACAGCATACCATTATTATGTCTAGTCTTTATCGGCCTTACAGATGTATGGGGTGAATCAGTTCAACTAAACTTACTCTTACTATTTGAGTTACTGGCCTTTTCTAAGAAGCATTTTGTTTCCAGGGTGGAATTGTGGTATATGTATATTATACACTGCTCATAAAAATAAAGGGAACACTAAAAAACACAATATAAATTCAATCCAAATAATCTTCTATCAAGCTGTCCATTTAGGAAGCAACACCAAGTGACAATTAATTTCACACGCTGTTGTACTAATGGAATAGTCAACAAGTCGAAATTATTGGCAATTAGCAAGACACACTCAAAGGAATGGTTCTGCAGGTGGGGACCACCACCACTTCTCAGAACCTATGTTTTCTGGCTGATATTATGGTTACTTTTAAATGTTGGTGGCTGCCAGAGCCCTGCGAAATGACCTCCAACATGTCATGCCAAATGTGCATCTGTCTGCACAAACAGTTAGAAACCAACACCAAGAGGATGGTACGAGCACTGTCCACAGATAGGGGTTGTGCTCACAACCCAACACTGTGCAGGACGCTTGCCATTTGCAGAGAACACCAGAATTGACAAATTCAGGATTGGTGCCCTGTTCTCTCAGATGACAGCAGATTCACACTGAAAACATTTGATAAACATGACTTTGCAAGCCTGGAGAAACTGTGGAGAGGGTTCTGCTGCCTGTAACTTCCGGTAAGTAATGGTGTTGGTTGTGATTTCTTTGGAACCCTCCATGTTCTCGCCAGAAATAGCATGCCTGCCATAAGGTATTGAGATTGGATCTTCAGGCCCCTTGTGACACTATATGCTGGTGGGTTCCCTTCTAATGCAGGACAATGCTAAACCACATGGTATTGGATTGTCTCAGTAGACCTGAATCCGACTGAGGGCATCTGGGACATCATATCTCAATACATCCACCAATGTTACGTTGCATCACAGACTGTCCAGGAGTAGGCGGATGCTTTAGTTCAGGTCTGGGAGGAGATCCTCAGGAGAGCATCTGCCCCCTCACAGGACAATGCCCATGTAGGGAGGTCTTACAGCCACACACACTACTAAGCCTCATTGTGACCCATTTTAAGGATATCACATCAAAGTTGGATTGTGTGTAACTCTAAATCCAGTCTCCATTGGTTAATAAATTCAGAATAAGGATGTGTTATTTGAGTGTTCCCTTTATATATCTCTTCTTTCTCTCTATCTATCTATCTATCTATCTATCTATCTATCTATCTATCTATCTATCTATCTATCTATCTATCTATCTATCTATCTATCTATCTATCTATCTATCTATCTATCTATCTATCTATCTATCTATCTATCTATCTATCTATCTATCTATCTATCTATCTATCTATCTATCTATCTATCTATCGATCTATCTATCGATCTGATCCGGTCTGATCTGATAAAATCATATTAAACCCTGAATAATGTTTCTTGCACGATTTCGTTGATCCTCCAAATAAGCTGTTGCCTCTGACCCACGCTAAAAACAAGCTTTATTAGATCCACGATTTCTTTTTTTTTTGTTTTGACCTTATCTGAAAATTTAGGAGCTTCAATAGGTAGGCTATATAAATTTACAATTTTTTATTTCCAAGTTTAAACAAAAATAAAATCGATCTGACCCCTGTTGTTTCTGATCGCTTTGCCTCTTTGCAATTCTGTACCTTTGAAAATGTGATTGTTTCAAATAAAGCTGTTCCGGGTAAGAAATTGAACCGTTTCTCACAGCAATTTCCAATATGTTTAAACGGTCTACTGTCAGGCTTTATGTTATCTATGCTTTATTTTCTGCCATAACATCCAGGTTTCACAAGAGTCAAGTGGCCTAAATGACCTGAAATAAATTAATGAAATTAACTAAAACAGGGTAGATTTTATCAGAAAACAATATACTATCAACTTAAACAAAAATGTTTATTAATGTTTTTCTGAATAAATATATGGAAAACATCTATCTATTTATCTAATGTAATATGTCTGTACCACTGTTTTACATGAATTACCAACTCTGCAGAGAGGAGCTGCCAAATATTTCGCAAATTGTATGTCACAGGTTCTTAAAAGATATTAAAAGTGTGTGTTTGTGGTGCAATGCCCTAAGGGGTATTTGTCAAAAGTCCACACTTATCAGCTCCTACAAGGTTGAATAGGACTTATAGGTTTTATGTTATTTTAAAAAATGACTGCATTGAATATTTTGTGATAATTTCCTTGGTATATATGTTTCATTAAATTATTAAAAGCCAATGTTTAATAAGTCTTCAGAATATGCCAAACTTAGAGGTAGAACAAAAGAAAGTAGGGGGTCAAAATAACTATGAATAAACCAAAATCTTAGAGCTACAGCTAGTGTTAATCACCTTGAACATAAGATCTTGCATCAGAACTAAAAATAAATTGATAAAGAAGCTGTTTAGACTTCATAAGTGCATTTGCCATTGTTATTTTGGAAGGGAGCAGGAGAAAGTGGGTTGGATGTGGGGGTAAAGGAGTACATGACCGTGACACCAGACTGAGTCACCTCAAGAACTGACCTTTCTGCCGGAGTCCTTGTGTCCACACTCCCCCTTGTCATACCACCACTTGTTTTTCAACTTGTCTAAGACGGCTTGTTCATTGAGCTTCAGTACTGCTAGGTTTACTGGGATTCTTCAAAGAATTAAGGGAAGGGGAGTTGGGGATTGGAAATAACATAAATAACATTATGCACCTCTATGTTATGTTATGTTATTGTTCAGCTGCATTGGCTGCAGTTGTAGTAATAACAGTGGTGGTGGCAGAACGATTTTAGCAAAAGTTGGCTTATTTTGTACAGATGCTGTGATACACTACAAGTAACAGCTCAACAACAACGGGAATATAAAACAGAAACAAACAGAAAACAGAAAAAATACACAAAAAAACAACTGGAAACTTTTTGAGTCAAAGTGATATGCATTAATACTCCATCTAGCTTGTTTTTACCTGACTCCCTACGTGCGAGATGTGTATTACTATATCACTTTGGGTAACCGGCAACAGCTGAAAACTTTCTGGGACACTTTGACTTAATTAAGTATATTCATCAAAATAGACACTGCTTCCCAAATTAATTTATGACTTCTGTATTTTATTATGTTGGAGACAAGATGCTTTAGGATGCAGAATGATGCTGTATAAATCAATAAATGAAACATATCTAAAAAGTAACATGAAGCTTGAGTTCCAGAGGAAGCCTTAAGAAACTTCATAAGACAAGATATAAAGCAGCATAATACTGTATTTAGATTAACATAGTCATTCTTAACAAACGGGGGTTCCAAATATCCCAGCTGTCTAGACTAGGATAATACTTTTCTTGTAGATATTTGGCAAACTGAGTGTCATGTAAGTGGAAGCTTACTTAGGACTTTCTTAGAGAAGAGGATTACTTAGTACTTATTCCTATGGGGATAATATATCTACTTTTTAAAGGGGACTGTGAAGCACACTAGAATAAAATAAAACCTGTAAAGACAGGCAAAAGTGGAAAAATACCAACATATATAAGAAAAAGATGGAGTAAACCAGGAATAAATCAATGTATGAGCCATGAATCTTAATGATAAACTGTAACTTTTAGAATACAAATAATATTATATAATATAAATACCCCAAAGATTAGAGAAGGATTTTGTTAGATTATTGATTTTTTTTTTTACATGTATGTTCCCAGAGTGTTTCCCGCCTGGTACTAAAGCTGTGCCTTTCTGCCAGTTACCCCAATGTGGCATTGCCTGACGTTACCCTTCAGGGTTACGGTGATCTGACCTTGGAGTCCCCTCCCCCGGTGCCGCACTCTCCCTTGTCATACCACCATCTGTTTTTCAATTTGTCCAACAGGCCCTGCTCGTTCAGTTTTAACACTGCCAAGTTAACAGGGTTTCTACAGGGGACGATAGTAACAATAGGGGATAAAAAGGGAATTTGGTGTTAATGGGAAGACAGCAACATCATTTCAGCTGCGTACTGATAACTAATGAATGGTGTGTGTGAAAGGAAAAGTTTGCAGTTTTCAGCCCAGACTTTAGTATACTACTGAAGCTATCAGATAACTTCAGGTTGATATTCCTAGAGCTTGGCTCTTCTCATGCTTTGGAGAACAAAAGTACTACGTATTATCCAACATTACCAAATTTTAAATAAAATGATAAACTAAAAAGTAGATGATAGTTTCTGGAATGAAGCTATAATTAAAAATATGGTCATCCAGACTCTCCAGATACGTCATAAAAAATGGCAAAGAATATAAGAAGTATGGGCTTCAGCAGGTAAGGAGGACAATGCTTCATTGTTTATTGTTTGAGTCTTTGCAGTTAGTTGTAATCTCCTTAAGTGGTCTTGTGAAATAGCTCTCCAGGTTTTACTAAGTCGGGTTGCCTTAGCTTTTCCTGTTATTTTCATGACATACATTTTTTTACCTAAAAGAAAGTGAGGAACAAACTTTAAGACCAAAAGCTCATCACCAGCAAATGAGCCCCATTCAAATACCAAATCTTTGTACTAATCTTGCAATAATCTGTATGTACCTACTCTACCTATTAAGTAAGAGGTATCGTAAAGTAATGATTTCTCCATTTTTTTAGTCAAACACTTGTATTTCATATAGTGACATGACAGGGACAAAGAGTATTTGTTCTATATATCTGTTACTAGTCTATCCTGTAAGTATAGTACTTCATGTCTGATTGACTCATAGGTGTTGGGATCCTCAGGCTTGCCCACCAGAGGGGGCCGAGGATCCTCTTCTGTTCTGTGTTTCTTTCCTTTAGGACTGGAGTTACTGCTGGGATCTGGAGATTACCCTCTGTCTCCAGCAGAGTGCGCCGTGGGTCTCCTAGGGCTGGAGTCTTCCTGCACACCTGTTGTTAATCCTCTCATCAGGAGACCTCACCTTTATAAGCCCCTGCCAGACCTTGCTTCCACACTGCAGTTTTGATCTTAGTTGGTTAGCTTCCTAAGCCTCTGTTACAGATTGAATCTTGGTTGTCCCTAGTGTGAGATCAGATTCTAATCTCTCCTTTGTCTGTGCCTCACAGTAGTGATGGGCAAGTGAAGCCTCATGAAGCAATGAAGCTTTCCAACGCAAAGTGTTGAAAAAAGTTCATTACTCGATGCTTCATTCATCACTCACTAGTGACATCTGCTGGTGAAACTGTAACAGCCTTGTTACTCAGTTGGATCATACTTCCAAATATTAGGAAATGCAATATTGTCACAAAGTTTTCATCAAACTCATGTTTAGTAAGAGGAGAATCCTATTCAATTGTCATGTTTTAATGATTAAAATGATTTGTAGCCAATCTAATCCTTGACCATCAGTGGTGGCGTTAGGTTTTCTTTTATGACATGGACTTATTAGACAATGAAGATATGTGTTACTTTAATGTATTGAGAACTGAGTGACTGTTGCTGCAGACTCTGTGTACTTTGAGCTTGAAACTTGCTTCCTTAAAGACAGAATTTGTTTAAAATCATCTCTTCCTAGGAGTTCTAGTTCTGATTCTTAATATCAAGTTACACATAGAGTTTGCCTCTTCTAATGGCTTTTAGTCTGGTTTTGATGTGTGATTCTGATGCATCTCCTGATTAAACAAAAGAAAATATAGAAATTTCTGGATTTTAGGTTTAATTGTTTTTATTTAGGAATATGACTTTTTTCACTGTTTCAGGTTGTGATCTGTCATCTTATAATACTCCCACATATGAGAGGTTTTTCTCTTTTTTGACGGCTCCATTACAACCACTGCTGATGAAAACTGTTCTGCTGAGACCAAACCACCTACTACAACCCACAAAGCAACAGGATTCATCGCGCTTTTATTTTGAAAACCAACACGCAAAATGAAGCAGTCACGTGACCAATGCAATGCGAGGCCTCGTTTGTTGCCAGTCACGTGGTTTTCAACAAGACAACACAGGCCTCGAAGCGGGGCTTCATTGACACGCCCCCTTATTACTCGGTACAAGCCTCGAAGCCTGGCTTCAGATAGCCCATCACTACCTCACAGGAAACCTGTCTCTGGTCTGAAGCTCAGGAAGAGCTGCCTCACTGGAAACCTGTCTCTGGTCTGAAGCTCAGGAGGAGCTGCCTCACTGGAACCCTGTCTCTGGTCTGAAGCTCTGGAAGAGCTGCATCACAGGAAACCAGTCTCAAGCCTGAAGCTCTAGGAGAGCTTAACCTGCTAATCTGCCCTGGTGAGCCAACCTGAAGGTTCCTATGTGGAATCACCCTGAAGAATCCTTTGTGGATATTCCCTGTTGTTCTCTGCAGTGAGCTGGAAGCTCACCCTGAAGAATCCTATGTGGATGATCCCTGTTGTTCTCTGCAATGAGCTGGAAGCTCAGCCTGAGCAATCCTATGTGGATATTCCCAGTTGTTCTCTGCAGTGAGCTGGAAGCTCAGATCAAGGTCTGCCATGCTAAGCCTGAAGCTAGACGCTTAGCTTCCCATGAACTCTGCTAACCAACAGTCTCCAGTCCCAGTTAAGACTTTAGTGAACCAGCCCTGAACCTGTTCCAGAATTTGTTCTTTATCGTGTGCTTGTGAACCTTAATAAACTCTGTTGAACTTTTACTCCGTTTTCTGTGTGTGTTCTGCATTTTGGGCTAGCTCAGATTACCCATCATGACAGAACACTGCGGCCAAACCCAAAGCCCAGCAGATCACCTCCGTCGTTGGATTAAGGAACGGGACGCTCAGATCCATGGACATACACAAACCCTCCGTAAGTTACAGCAGAATCAAACACTCGCTAGCTACTTGGATAATGCTAACGCCACGTCAGCGGCACGTCCTGCTCCGAATTCACTTCCGTCTCCTAGGTCACCGGCAATGACGTCACTTCCCCGTCAAGATAATAATCTTCCTTTTTGGTCAGAACCCAGCCCGTCGTTTTCTGCACTCAGCCCTTCTCTGCCTGAGAGATTTTCCGGCAATCCAAGAAAACTCAGGAGATTTCTATTTCAGTGTCAGTTGTTTTTTGGATTTTATGATTCTAGTTTTCTTTATGATAAGGATAGGATAGCTTTAGTCGTTTCTTTTCTGTCCGGTGAAGCCCTTGAATGGGCGGAGACCAGATTTCCGCCTAAAACTAGATTAAACTGTACATATGAGAAATTCATCCAGGAGTTTGAAAGGACCTTTAATCAGGTCACAAATAAATCCTGGTTTTCAAGTGGACTTTGGAAATCTAAACAGGGAAATAGATCCGTTGCAGAGTTTTCTTCCGAGTGTTGGGAGCTGGAGAAGTTCCACCTTTCTCCAGCAGAGTCCGCCGTGGATCCTCCTGAGTGAGCCTTCTGCACAGCTGCAGCCCATCAGATCATCAGAGGATCCACTACATAAGCTGTCTTCAGACCTTGCCTCAACGCCGCAGTGCTGATCCAGTTGGTCAGCGCCTAAGCCTAGACTCTCAGTGAATCTTTGTGACTTTGAATCCTGCCTGGATTCTAACTCTTGTCTCTGTCTTCCAGGAAACCAGTTTCTCCCCTGTGGAGCTCAGGAAGAGCTAACCTGCCGAGCCGACCCTCAGAGCCAAACCTGAAGAACCTCAGTGAACTTCCATGCAGCTCAGGACTAAGAGCTGGAAAACCCAAGGCCAAGGTCAGCTCAGAACTAGAAGTAAGACGCTGAAGCAGCTAGCGGACTCTGCTGGTCAACTCCTCTCCAGATCCAACAGTGACCCTCTCAAAGTTATCTACAAGAACCCTCAAGGTACAATCAGTAAAAATCTAGATCGCAAGCTCAAAAGCGCAACGCTAACTGAACTGTCTCTCATGCAGACTCCGGTGAACCAGTTTCGAGGCCCGAACCAGAACCAGTCAAATCAGTGTGCTTGTGAACAAATAAACTTGTTAAACTTTTACTCCTGTGTCCGTCTAGTGGTGTTCTGCATATTTGGGTCACTCTTCGTGCACCCATCATGACACCGAGTTCCAGGAAAAAGCAGCCGTTTCCGGGTGGAACGAGTCTGCACTTAAGACTGCGTTTCTCCAAGCTCTAAATGAACCGGTCAGAAACGAGCTAACCTTTTACGTTGAGCCAGATAACCTTGAGGATCTCATAGAGCTAGCAGTCGGGTTAGATATAGGACTGCAAAGTAGACCCAGAGCCGTACTGCCTGACCAGACACCTGAACCCGTCACCGTGGTTTCTAGACCTGTTCCCTCGCCTGATTATCTAGCTCCCCACATCCATGAGTCTGATCTCTGGGATTATTTTTTATGGGGATAGAGAGGATATCTTCCCCTTCGAGCCACCACATCCAGCTCCAGAAAATAACCCAGTTAGTTTTGAACCTGACCCCATGCCTGATTTGTTAGCCCCAGACCCTGTAATCCATTCTGGAACTCTCTTTTTCCAACCAGTTAATTTGTTGCCAGATTCAATCAGTAAACCTGTTAACTTAGCTTCCAAGACCCCTCGGCGTAAGAAACAGCATCGCCTTAAGTCAGCTCTGTGCTGTCTAGAGACCCCTGAGTCAGCTCTATGCCGTCTAGAGACCCCTGAGCCTGCCCTGTGCCGTCCAGAGACCCCTGAGCATAAACTTAAGAGGGCTTCAGAGTTTGGAGTTGGAGAAAATATGCCTCCAATAGCCTCTCAGCAGGGGCCACAAACCGCCAAGAACCTTCTACAGACGCTTCAAGCCACCTCAGAGACTGAATAGGAGCCTCCATGGGTGTTTTCCCCTGTTCCTGAGACGGAGCCACAGTCGGTGATTTCTCCAGTTCCTGGGGTGGAACCACAGTCGGTGATTGATCCAGTTCCTGGGGTGGAACCACAGTCGGTGGTCCCTCCAGCTCCTGAGGTGGAACCACAGTCGGTGGTGTCTCCTGTTCCTGAGGTGGAACCACAGTCGGTGGTGTCTCCTGTTCCTGAGGTGG